CAAACAAGCAAACAAACAAACAAACAAACACAGAGGAACACCGGAGAGAAAAGAAAAGAGGAGAAACAGAGCGAGAAAAGTCAAAAGCATTTGTGTAAATCCAAGCAACCCAGAGTCTCGGGGCATTTTTGGCCGAAATCGCCAAATGTGTGTACGCACAAGCACCTGTGCAAATACAAGCAGCCCACAGTACGAGGGACAATCTTGGTCGAAATGGCCAAATTTTGTTGATGTTTGAGCCTGAGAGGGGCAACCCTACTATTTCTGCATGTTCAGGGGTCCTCATGCAATTTTCACTATGCTGAATCACGTCCAGCTTTTAGCTAGAATCTTTATCTTCCGTCAACTTCCGACAGTTGATGGCATTTCACCCTAAAAAATAAATCTCACATAGTCCTTTCACACATGGCTTCTCAGGAAAATGCTGAAGGAGTCGGCCTGTAGAAGAAAACCCTCCCTGTGTTTCTGATCTCTTTGTCGCGCATAATGTTAAGCAGCAGACTTCGCTTGCGTCCATCGCTCCAGACGTCTCTTTCACTGAATCCAAATAACCGAGAGGGAAAGACCATCAACCCCAACACTTCAATCACTGGCGCCACTCTATCCAATCCGGGACCATGAGAGAGATTGGGCCATAGAGAAAAACTCGGCCGCAAACACATCTCTGTTTTTTTAAAGTATTTTGCCACCAAGAATGAATTCAAATCGAGGAACTAGCTCCTGCCGTCAGCAGCGACTGACAGACATGTCCACAGAAACAGCGGAGTGCGGATACATTATTCTCTCCTCCGCTCTGTTCCTCTCTCGTCATGTTTTACTCTTGTCTCTGCAGCATGTATTAAGCTTTGCGATGGTGTAGTGGTCAAGCACGAGCCAACATAAGGGCCTGCAAAATTGCCTGCGCGTCTAAAAGGGAGCTGAGTTCACATATGACTACCATATGACATCTATCATCTCTTCTCACCGCCACCATCTCCCTTGCTATCCTCTCCACCTGCTGCTGGTTTGCCCGCGTCCCCTGCTTCATCCTGTGAGAAAAAAAAAACATAGCGGAATAACAAAATGGGAGCAACAAACACAAATGTGAGCCTTTGGTGTAATATGGATGACTCTCTCTCTCTCTCTCTCTCTCTCTCTCTCTCTCTCTCTCTCTCTCTCTCTCTCTCTCTCTCTCACACACACACACTCTTGTTCTCACTTCTTGTCCACGGTTCACAACCAGTATCTCTCTCTCTCTCCACCTTGCAGCTATCTGTTTGGTGCAAACTCTCTCTCTCTCTCTCTCTCTCTCTCTCTCTCTCTCTCTCTCT